GTGGCTTTTTTGTGCAAGGTTTCTGGAGCTTGAGCTTCAGCTTAAGCCTGTAGGTGGAAGCAGTGTAAAAAAAACCCTGTTCTCTCCATCTCAACAAATTTGAGTTTTTTTTCAAAGCAAGACTTGTAGTCAGACTTGCATCAGTAGTTAGACTTTGTCCAGTCCTAATCTGAAATACTCTTATCTCCCAAAATAAGGCAATACTACTCTTGTTATGTGGGCAGGTGGTCTTTATTTGCCCAGTGAAGCCAGCCTTAAATGCAGTCTGAATTTTTCAGTCTTAGAGGTGAAGTCTTTCATCTCTTGTCAAAACACATGAGGCTGCTGAAGTGTGCACTTGTAGATCATTGCAGTGTGGTCTGATAGAGCAGTTCAAGATTACAGCTTGGTCAATCTGACATGTGCTCTGCTTAGTTTCAAACTGGGATTAGAAAAATCTTTAGGAGAGCTCTTCCATGGGTAGTTTCATGGTAAACACACCTTCCCCGTCACTGAATGTAAGTAGCACTTGAACATCAACCCTGAGGACCCTCTCAATCAGACAGCAAGTTGCAGAACAATTACCCTTTGATGGTTAGGCTGGTCCAACCATCTCCTTTGCCATTTTTCTGGAGATATCTGAAAATGGTAAATAAGCTCAGACTTGCTCTGACTGAGCACAAGAAACTTCAGCTTCCACTACATGAGCTCTGCCAGCATTTTTAATTGTCCCTTTGTTCTAAATCAAGGTGTTTTCAGGTGGGTCTGGCAGTGTTGTAGTTGCACTGTAAGGGCAAACAGTGAACTTCCTTGCAATCCTTTTCCTGAGTGTTTTTCTGCAGTTCCTGTTTATGAAGGTATGGGTTACAAAGACAGGGCATTAAGGAAAAATGTTGGGAACTATTAACTCCAGTACTGAATTTAGCCAAGCTACCTGTGTGTCATCTGTCCTGGGTCTGTCTCAAGTTCCTAGACCACAGCCCTTTGACACGTGGTGCCTTGCCCTTTTCCTCCTCCTCCCCTGACATCAGCATATCTAGAGACTTCAGTAACAGCTCTGTCAGAGCTTTTGGGGCTTTGCTTTTTGGTGAATGAATTTTCAGACACTGAGGCACACCAGTGATGCACATGGCACAATTGAGTGCTGGTTTAAAGGACCTTTGTGGGCAGCCTACAACTGGCTACAGTCAGTTTCAAGGCTGAAAATAACAGTGTATATAAGCAGTGGATCACTTTAAACTCTCTGCTCCTTTAGCAGTAGGAATTGAGTCATAGAAGCAGGATTTGCTTTGCCTAATATGTGACTTGTCATCCTGCAATCCCAAAGTTTTTGTCTGTTAACACTCCAGCAGCAAAGCTGGAGGTAAATTGCTGGAGTGGCTGCATCTCAAAGCAAAGAGCAGAGAGTACCATCTTCAGGACTTAATTGCCAGTTTAGTCACCTGGATTGCTTCCAGGTTTTTCTGGAAATGCTATGCTTGTCTGGAGCTTAATGAAATTCTTCAATCTTTTTTTGTGAGACCAGAGAAGGCCTGAGCCTTGTGCTGCCTGTGCAAGTCATTTGTTGTAAAGAACATCTTGTTTCTGCCTTGAGTCATACTCCATGTCTGTAACCCTTCTGTGGGTTGGTTCATTTGGGAAGGTGCTGGAGCCACAGTGACTCAAAGCAGTGTCTCTTCCATGGCTTTTAGGTGAAAAGCAAACAGCCCTTTTTGGTGTGAGGACTTTAGGATTTTTCTCCAAGCTTAGAATGCCTCAGAGCAGCACCAGCCCAAGGGAGGGTGCCCTGTTCCTGTACCCTCTTCTCACTGGCAGTGGCAGTGACACTGGCCTGGGCTTCCTCAGCTGTCAGGGGAGCTTAGGCACAAGTGCCATCAGTGAGTCAAAGCAGTTGTCAGCTTTCCATGCTGTGCTGGAAAGGTTTCTGGAGTTATCCTGAACCTCTGCACAAGGTGGCACAAAGCCCCTTTGCTTTGGTCTGACTGACAAGCTCCCGTTGTAATCAAAGTTCTTGCATGACCAGAGAGGAGACAGACAATTTTCTTCTTGGATCTCCACTATAGTTCTGCTGGGATGTTGACCCATCTCATGGTCCCTGCCAACTGGAAAGTCTTTAAGATAAAAAAAAAAAGCCAAATAAAACCCATTTGTATTTGTTATAACCAATTCCTAGTGCTTTGCCCAAATCAACAGCTTTCCAAAGGGGCATATTGTCTCATTGTTACATGATAGCTTGACTGTAATTTCCAGTGACAGATCTCTAGCCATTCTTCTTGAGAAAGCACAACCTCTTTCTCTGAAAGTTCCTAGCCAAAAAGGTGTGTAAAGAGCTTGCTAAGAGGAGACCTGTGCCCTTGTTTTTCTCATGCAGCTGTGTTAGACCAGGCAGAGTGACTTCCAGTGGTCTTGGTGAACAGTTGAGTATGAAAATATTTTCCATTTGGCAAAATTTTATTCTGTAACTATCTCTAAATGCTGCCCTGAAGAAGCCTGTATATTGAGACACCCTCCCTGCTGCCATGTTCTGAGTCAGATTCTCTGGAGCTGAGAGCTGCAGGGGAGATGATTTGCAACTAGCAATGCAATTTTTCTATATCTGCTGATGTTTACCTTTAAAATTATATATAAATATATATAAAACTGTCTTTGATTTTTTTCTTTAATTTTTGTTCTTGTGTGGTGTAAAATGGAAGTCATTGCAAAACAAAATGTAATTTTGTTATCTTTGATTCAGTGGGGTTTCTTTATTTAAAAATAAAGGACTTATTGAAGTCAGTGCTACACCTAGTGCCTGTGTGTGAAGTTCCATATGTTGGCAGAGGCTCTCAGTCTTCCCTTGGGGAGCTGGCTGGGGGGAAGGTGATACAAGTGGTGCTCAAGCCTTTCCTGGTTGCTTTTTGTCTTCTGGCCAAGAAGAGGTCTTTGATGCCACTCTGGTGGAGAATGGGTACAGCATCAGCTTAAAAAACATATCTGCCATGAAACTACAGAAAAAGAGTTCTTTTTGCCACTGGAATAGAACATCTGCTACTTTTCCCTATGTGAGAGCAAGTGCATTGCCTGATCTTTCAGCTGCTGGCAGAAGAAACACAAACCAGCACCTCTGGCCAGGACAGTGACATCTGTGAGCCTAGGGTGTACAAAAGCATTACTCACCTGCCCTAACAACTCTCCACGGTGTGATTTGTTACCTACAGCCCAAGGGAGGGAGCTGTGGAGGGGAACTGGGACTGGTGCCCTGCTGGGGCAGCTGGACTGGGTGCTCTGGGGCACACAGTGGCCTTCATCTGTAATTTATTGGCCATTATGAATTAGCTGTTAGATCCACTTCAGAACACCCTCCTGCCTTGCTCAGTCACCCAGCTGCCAGCTCTGCTGTGCTGCTCTCTGTCTCCCCATCACAGCAAGCTCCTGGCTGACAATTTGTCACAGGAGTGATGAGCAGCCACAGGCACCTCCCAAGAGCTGTGACTGTCCCAGTCCAAATCCCAGAGGCAGCAGTGTGATACTCCTGTCTCTGTGGATGAGTTTTTTCCCCTTGTTCTGTTCCCACAAGCTGCAATTGCTCTGCCTTCCAGGCAAGCTGTGCTGTTGTGTTTGCACTGGCTTGATGCTGGCAGGGTTGTCACACGTGGTTTCCTTGGGATGGCTCCAGGTACAGAAAGGAGCCAAAGGAGGTGGAGAAGTGCCTTTTGCTCTGTCTCTGGACTCCTGCACAGCCTCAGGCTTTGGGACTGTCCATGCATGGACTCACCAAGCAGCTGAGGCTGGAGCAAACATCTAACCCCAGGCAGGCCCTGTCCTGTTTGGTTTGAGCCTGAGCCAGTGCCCTGCTGACTGTGGCTCTTGTCAGCACCCTCCACCTCAGCCAGCTCTGGATGGGGGGCTGATCTGGCTGATGAAAAGGACTCAGGTGGGGCTGGCAGGGGGGACAGGACCCACTGTGGCACCAGGCTCAGGGAGAAGGTAACCTGGGCAGAGACCAGGAGCTTGTTCCTCTCTGAGCCCTGCTGCTGGCTGAGGGAGGAGATGGTCTGGGAATGGATGTTCAATTGGCTCTCTGGAGGAGATGCCTGGTTCATGACCCAGAACAGACTCTCTAGCCTGGGACAGCTACTTATGCCTCCCTCCTCCCCACCTGAGCAAGCTGTAATTAGTGTCAGGTGCAGCTTGTTTGCTGCACAGGTACCATCCTTTGCCCTCCATGGTGACTTTTGGTGGGGCTTCCCTGAATGAGCTCCCTTTCACAGTGCAGTGCTAGGAGAAACAACCATGCTGAGGCTTTTGAAGGATTTAGGAGGGTACCTGCTGCTTGTCTTTCAATTGTTTTGTGATTGAAATCCATCTCCCAGTCCCAATGGCTCCTGCAGGTTCTGTTCTCCTCCCTGCCCAAGCAGGAATTGGGCAGAGACAGCTCCACCTGGGACCCTGGTTGGATTTTTGTTTGCATCTGTTTTCTCTTCCCTGGTTAGAGCAGATAAGGAAGAACTGGGGGCCCTTTCTCAGGCAAGAAAAGAACTTGATCTGGAATGCAGGGAGGATGGAGAAGGGCAGTGCCAAAGTGCAGTCAGTGATGAGGGAACTGGGGTCTCCTGCCAAACACTGGCACTCCTGATCTCCTTAGAACCACCAACACAGCCAGCACCCAAAAAGCTGTGCCCCTGTTCCTCACCATGAGGCACCAGAGCTCTGCTTTAAACACTTTATTTCCCCCTCACTGTAGCCCTCCCTTCCCAGAGCAGACACTCTCGTGTCCTCCCCTCGCAGCTCCAGGAAAGGCTGTGGGAGAGGGCTGGTGGCCTCCTTTCTCCACCAGCTCCAGAGGGAAGGATGCTGTGCCAGGGAGGGACAGCCCTCTGCCTGGAGTGGGGACAGGAGGGACAGGCATGGAGCAACACACCCAGGCTGCTTCAGCATGAGCAGTCACTCAACCAGCATTACAGGAGGGAGGTGGTGGGGTTAGAGGGCCACCTCTGGTGCTGTGGTACAGGGGAGAGCTCCTGATTTAGGAGGCTCCTGCTTTAGAGAGCTGTGTCCTCAGACTCTATGCGAGGCCCAAAGAGCTTCTCTGCAGTTGCTTTGCCATCGTACTTGGGCAGGTTGCCACCAAAGTCTGCTGGCAAGATGTCAGCATCGATCTCCTGGTAGAAGGATTCCAGCTCCTCGCCGTGCACAAAGACCTGGGGGAGATGGGAGTGAGCCTCAGCAGAGGAACAGGACAGCTCTTCCCAACTGCTCTGTTTCACCCAAGGAGGTGCCTTTGCCTGCAGGTCCCTTTCCCACACTCACCCTCTCCAGCAGTTTGCTCTTCAGGAAGGGTTTGACCACGTTGTAGGTGGTGGTGAAGTACCAAGGCTGGTGGATGAAGTGGACGGCCTTGAACCGCGCTGGGAAGGAGTCCTGGCATCCCAAACCCAGACACAGATGGTTACAGATGGTGATCTTACCTTTGCTCTTACCCAGATCTGAGCAGGCAGCAATGGATACACCAGCACTGGCACAGCTCTCCTTGCTCCATGTCCCCTTCTCTCTTCTGACCCAGAGGACCAACCATCCCCACCTCAGGAGTACCAGGGAGCTGAAGAACCTCCCAGAGAGCTCACTGCTCCCACCCCATGAGAAGGACCTTCCCTGGGAGGAGCTGAGTGTCTTTGGCATTTGGTCCAAGGGCAGAAATCCTGGAGTGCCTGTGTTTCCATCCAGCCTGGACCAGGCTGGGCTGAGAGGCTCATGAGGAAAGCCCTCCAGGCCATGCCCTAGGATGCTGCAAGGAGTGGTAGCACTGCTTCTGGTCAGGCATATGAGAAGGCAGGGAGATGGGGTGGGGAAAATTTTGCAGGGTTAAGCCAATCAGCTGGCAAGGCAGGGAGAGGGTGGTGGGGAACAGCCTCTCCACAATGCTTTCTCATTGTTCCAGCATGGTGGCGATCCCAAACCCTGCTAGGCCTGCCTCTGAGCTCCCTGCTTGCCCAGGGTCCCCTCTGCCACTGCTGGGTGCAGACTTTGCCACCTCACCTGCAGCATGTCCACCATCTTTTTGAGCTCGGAGGGTTTGATCCCTGATGCCTGCTGCATGGTGAAGCCCTTGAAGTTCTCAATGATGCAGAACCCATTGATCTGGGTCTCTTCGTTCTCCAGCAGCTTCTCCAAGATAATACAATAGGCACGAAGAATCTAATGGGGAGGAGAGAAGGCAGGGTCTTGGATGAGGTCTCACCTGCAACAGACCCTAGGAGGTACTCAGGAGCAGTCCCATGGAGTGTTAGCCAGGGTCTGTTGGACTCCAGCCTGCTTGTCACAGCCAGCACCCAGATTTCAGAGCAGGGAAAGGGTGACCACATTCTTTTTAAGTCATGAGCATCAGATGTGGATCAGTGATACACTGAGACCAGATTCAGAGCTGAGCAGAAAAGGAAACTGTGAGAAGCTGTGAGTTTCATGCTTGGAACCTCTTTGTCAAGAAGCCCTTCCCATGCCCCATGCCTCAGTTTCCTCCTCTGGCCCTGATTTAATGCTGTGGTGCCTTTCTTCAACCCCTGTTACACGGGCTGGGGGATGCACAGCCTGAATTTGGCATATTGCACTGCATCCTTTGAGGTGAACCATGCTCTCCCAGGCTCCCTCAAAGGATCAATTCAAAGGGCAACAGATTAACTTTCACCTGTATGGCTGGTCAGATGCACATGTGGATGTGTGTGTGTGTGTGTGTGTGTGTGTGTGTAAGGATGCTGTGCTCAGTGTGTGTGTGTGTGAGGATGCTGTGCTCACAGTGTGTGTGTGTAAGGTTGCTGTGCTCACAGTGTGTGTGTGTGTGTAAGGATGCTGTGCTCAGTGTGTGTGTGTGTGTAAGGATGCTGTGCTCAGTGTGTGTGTGTGTAAGGATGCTGTGCTCAGTGTGTGTGTGTGTAAGGATGCTGTGCTCAGTGTGTGTGTGTAAGGAGGCTGTGCTCAGTGTGTGTGTGTGTGTAAGGATGCTGTGCTCACAGCGTGTGTGTGTGTGTAAGGATGCTGTGCTCAGTGTGTGTGTGTGTGTAAGGATGCTGTGCTCAGAGTATGTGTGTGTGTAAGGATGCTGTGCTCAGTGTGTGTGTAAGGATGCTGTGCTCACAGTGTGTGTGTAAGGATGCTGTGCTCAGTGTGTGTGTGTGTGTAAGGATGCTGTGCTCAGAGTATGTGTGTGTGTAAGGATGCTGTGCTCAGTGTGTGTGTAAGGATGCTGTGCTCACAGTGTGTGTGTAAGGATGCTGTGCTCAGTGTGTGTGTGTGTAAGGATGCTGTGCTCACAGTGTGTGTGTAAGGATGCTGTGCCCAGTGTGTGTGTGTAAGGATGCTGTGCTCAGTGTGTGTGTGTGTGTGTAAGGATGCTGTGCTCATAGTGTGTGTGTGTAAGGATGCTGTGCTCAGTGTGTGTGTGTAAGGATGCTGTGCTCAGTGTGTGTGTGTGTAAGGATGCTGTGCTCACAGTGTGTGTGTGTAAGGATGCTGTGCTCAGAGTGTGTGTGTGTGTGTGTGTGTGTGTGTGTGTGTGTGTAAGGAGGCTGTGCTCAGTGTGTGTGTGTGTGTAAGGATGCTGTGCTCACAGTGTGTGTGTGTGTGTGTGTGTAAGGAGGCTGTGCTCACAGTGCCGAGCAGGACAAGCCCATAAGCAGGACCGCAGCTGTGTGAGCAGCCTCTGAGCTGGGCTCACCTCATCGAAGGTGATCTCCTCGTAGTCCCAGTTCTCGATGTTGAAGAGCATCACCACGCGGCCGTACTTGTCCCTGCTGGCCAGGATGCCGGGGTAGCCGGCCTCGATGGTGCTGCGCACGGCCTCGGGGCTCAGGTTGTCAAACAGCTCGGGGTACTGCTGCCGGAAGTTCACGTAGCCTGCAGAGGCAAAAATTGGGAAAACTGGCTGCTTGCCCAGCCTCAGGAGGCTGGGAGAGCTGCCAGAGACGGGATGGGCTGGTGATGGTGAGATGTCAGAGCCTGAGAGCTGTGGAAAGCTCTGCCTGTGGTCCACATGGATCAGGTCTCCTCCAGCAAAAGGGGAAAGAGAAGCTTAGCAGCAGACCAGCCCCAGCATGCTTGGTGCAATCCCTCCCCTTGCCAGGAGCTTCCCACACCTGCTTTCTCTCCAACACCTTAACAAATAGATAAAGAAATTTCCCCCTTCATTTCCCTTCTCCCCTTCCTCTCTCTTTGGGTGAAACCCCCCATACACCCTCTCCTGGCACCCTGCGGGCACAAAACAAGGAATTTCATCCTGGGAAAATGCTGGCAAACAAAACAGCTCATCTGAGAGCCAGCACTGATAATTACAACTCATTATCCCCCAAGCTGACACAAAGAAGACCAGAGCTGGAGCCAGGCAGGTTCCAGTCAGCAGCCACCCTCTGGGCTGCCCTTCTGCTCCCCCTCCACCCCTATGGGTCACTCTCAGTGTGAGGAGAGGGTGCCACAAGCGCCCCAACCTGTCCCCAGGGATGCCCCAGGGGTGAAAAGACCCCCAGGCACCATGCACAGCAGCATCAGGAGGGTGCAGAACTGGCTCCTTACAGGGGTACAGAGGGGGGAGTGTAGGGCATGTATAGGGCATGGGGGTCTCAAGGGGATGCAGCCCAAGCCAGCTGGGTTGGCTGCACGAACAAAAGCATCACCAAATGTGAGGGTTTTTTCCATTTTGTTTGGGTAAATTTGCAAGGAATGGGACCGTCCTGGTGCTGCAGGATGCCTGGTGTTACCCTCATTTATCTCCTTCCTCATCCCAGCTCCTTTCAAGCCCCTCAATCCCATTTTTCTATTTACCCCCTCTCTTCATTCCCTTCCCCTGTCAGGGTCCTGCTCTGCCAGCACAGCCCAGTCTGGGCTAGGAGGCACCAGCACAGGACAGGGAGCTGCTGGGGGATGTGTACCCTCACTCCCACCCAGCATCACAGCCCAGGAGGCCTCCCCACCTTTCAGCAGGGCATAGGCTCTGTGCCCTCCCCACCTTTCAGCAGGGCATAGGCTCTGTGCCCTCCCCACCTTTCAGCAGGGCATAGGCTCTGTGCCCTCCCCACCTTTCAGCAGGGCATAGGCTCTGTGCCCTCCCCACCTTTCAGCAGGTCATAGGCTCTGTGCCCTCCCCACCTTTCAGCAGGTCATAGGCTCTGTGCACATCGAACTTGCGAGCGCGGATGAAGCGGAGCAGGAAGGAGTCGTCCCTCTCCTGCACCTTCTCGGCCACCTTCTGGCAAACGTCCTCGCCGCCCGCCCGCTCCTGCACCAGCTCCCGCAGCGCCTTCACCGCCACCTCCCGCTTCTCCTCCGTCTCGTTCAGCTCGTCCTTTGCCTGGGGGGGAGCAGAGAGGACACCCAGTGATGGGCACGCATGCTGAAACACCCCAGGGGTGTCACAGACATCTTTTATGAAAAGTCCTTTCCTTAGAATTTTTCCTCCTGAGAAGCTGAGAAACCTCAAAAACAAAATGTAAACAATAATTATCTGCTGCTGTAGAATGCAACAAGTAAATCTGTAATTAATCTCATGCAGTTGTTTCTAATAACTAATCACAGCTAACTCAGACTCTCAGTCCAAGAGACAAGCCTTTGTTATAATTCCTTCTTTTTCTATTCTTAGCCAGCCTTCTGATGAAATCCTTTCTTCTATTCTTTTAGTATAATTTTAATATAATATATATCATAAAATAATAAATCAAGCCTTCTGAAACATGGAGTCAACATTCTCATCTCTTCCCTCATCCTCAGACCCCTGTGAACACTGGGGGATCATGGAGGCACCCAAAAACTGGGGGAGGACAGTAAAGCTCCTTGCAGCATCCCAGCATAGGGAGGGCAGGGTCACTCAATCCCCAGCCTGGAGACATTTTGCAAGAGGAGACAGCAGAGAGTCTCCTCTGGCCCCTGAGGAGCAGGAGCTGCACCTTCCCCCCGTTCCCCACAGCTGCCTCACCTTCTGCAGGGTGTGTGGGGGGATCTTCTCGCACCTCCCAAAGACGGGCCCGTGGTCCTTGGTGGTGAGGCGCTCCAGCTTGGAGCGCAGCGCCTGCTCCTCCTCCGACACGATCCGGAACGTGCCCGTCTGCGGGGAGGAGAGGCTGTGGGGGCTCCCCAGACAGCCCCCCCAGCTCCCTGCCCCAATTGGGAGCTCTGGGGAAGGGGAGAGGCTCCACACGGGCACCCCAGGGTGTGCAGTGGAATAGGGACAGACTGTGGAGTGAGGTGCAGCCTGTGCACCCCATGCCAGCGCTGCAGGGAGGGCATGGTCCAGGCGCAGAGGATGGGGCAGTGTGGGGACAATACTCACAACTGCAGACATGTTGTCCTCTGTCTTCTGTCAGCAGCAGGACACTGGCAGAGGGAAGGAGGAATCAGCATGGATCCAAATGGTGTCCATGGCCTCCCTTATGCCCCATTCCCTGACATCTTGCACAAGTAGGGGCAGAAGTGGGTGTCCAGAGGACACCCCCAATCCTCCTCAGCCCCATCACCTACTGCCTGCATCTCTGCCTGCCCAAGGAGGCTGAGCAGCCTGGAGAAACACCAGGGATGTTTGCAAAAGCAGCTTAAAAATCTCTGTATTGATCATCTGATACCTTCACATGTTTTTCTCAGTCTGCCTTCCCTCTTTGGGCTGGGGGCATCTCAGCGTGCCCTCACCCAGGTGGTCTCAGACCACCTTCACATTGGCAGAGGTGAGCATCCAACTTTGGCCAGGCAGCCAGCTCATCCTTTTATTTCTACTACCAAAATAAATAATATTACCAAAATAAATATTCATCCCCAAAGTATTTCCCAAACTCTCAAGTCTCACTGCTCCACCAGCTGCAAGGCTGGACTATAAACCTCTCAGCATCTTTCCAATGCAGTCTGGGTGAAACACCTTGTTCCCATCCACGAGGAGGAGGGCTGCCTTCATCCTGCCTCCAGCACCTACCCCTGCCTGGCTGTAGCACCAGCCCCAAGCCCTGGCTGTGTGAGGGATGCTTGGTTCCAGCTCACCCATTTCCCAGGGGTTTCCTCTTTCCCTCCACCTCCTGGGGAAGGGATAGGCATCAAAACCAATTCAAGCTCTGGAGGTGCCAGGTTGAGTGAGATTGATGGTCTTCAGTGCAGTTCTTTCAGTTGAAAAATATCCTGGGTACTCACCAGGAAGAGCTGAAGTGTCCTGAGCAGGTGAGTGCACAGAGCTGAGGTGGGAGCAGGGGTGGCGAGGCCAGAGTGGAGCAGCGAGGGAGCCGGACGAAAGCTTTGTAGAGTCACCGGGTTGGGATTAGACCGTCACAAGGCATCAACTCACTGCAGCTTTGCAATTAAGTCAGCCCAGCCCAGGAAAGAAACCCCATTAAAACATTACAAAAGGCAGCTGAGGAGAGGGAAGGAGGGAGCTGGGGTTCCACGGCCAGCGGGAGCGTGCGTGGGGAGGCGGGCTGGATGCCGGACCCGATTAACAAAGTATAAAAGCTCCTTGTTGTGTAACTCGCTCATTAGCACGGGGCAGGGGCAGAGGCAGGGGGTGGGCAGCCTGCCATCCCGGCCTGCTCCCTGGGGTGAGCAGGACAGGTCTGTTCCCCAGCTCCTGCCCCAAAAACCCTGGCAAGGTCCTGCTGTGAATTCGGCTGCGTGGGCAGGGTCTGGCTGCGGGGATGGGTCTGTGGCAGAGGATGCTCCTGGGGCTCTCCAGTTCCTCCCCTATGGGGCCTCCCAAACCAGCATCCATACAAGGCCCCTTTCACTTTTATAAAAAAGAGACACAGGCAAAATTTCTACAATGCCCTCGAGTGATGATTGACTGCTTGGAGCTCTGGGAACTGGAGATGCCACAGACCCATAAGGGAGGGGAGCCCTGGGATGTGGGAGAAACAAAGCTCAGTCCACATGTGGGTGCAGCAGGATGGCAAAATGGCTTTTCTGGGATGCCCCAGCATGCTGAAGCTACACAGGGCAGGAGAGCCCTTGCAGCCTTGATTCTTTGGGTCAAGGGTTGTGGGAGCTGCGTGAAGATGTGGAGAGGATGGAGCTGTGCTCAAGCCCAGGAGAGGAGCTTGGCCAGGCTCTTACCATGGTGGGGATTTTGGGGAGGTGGCAGGGCTGGGCTAAGAACCAGAGCAGGGCTGAAGGGGCTTACACAAGGCATGTTTTGTAATGCCCCTGGGATTTACGGATTTGGTTTCCACATAGGGCTGTCCTGCAAGTGGAGCTGAGACCCCAATGTGAGGGAGGGAGGAGGAGGAGGAGGAGGAAGGCACGAGACTCCAGATGAAAGGCTGGGGTGCTGCTGAGGGAAAACTCAGACCTGTGCCAAAAGGCTGAGCAATGCCACTGTGGCCTGAGGCACTGTGCTCTGCTCTTCTGAGGAGACCCCCAACCCTCCCATCCCCTTCTCTAGCCCTGGTGCAAGGCTCAGCTCCCTCCTACAGCACGTTGGACCTTTGTGTGCAGCTCCGTGCAAAATAGTGCATAACAGGGGTACATCATCAGCATGGGGTTTCCCAAATAATGCTTCCCCAATAATGCTCTGTTGGGGTGCCAGAGAGAACCTATGATCCCTGGGGCACCTGGGCATCCCAGCCAGCACGGTCAGCACGGTGAAATGGTTTTGCAGACACATGTACAACCCCTGGCATCACGAAGCGAGTGTTTTGGGTAAAGGGGTCTCAAGGGGGACCCACCCTGACGTAGTGTGACAGAGCCCTAAGTGCACCTCTCTTCCATGTCTGGTTATCCCCCTGCCCACAGCCCCATGTCAGACCCTCAGCACCACCAAGTCCAGCTCCACGTGAGCACGGAGCTTGCGAAATCTCCCAGGCTGTGCTGGCTTGGGATCCTTTGGCCAAATCCTGCTGCTTAAAGGCAGGCTACACCTCCTGGTACGCTCAAGGCCACCCCGCATGTCCCCCGGAATTAAGGGGTTTACTCAAACCCCACGTGGGTGTGTGAAAAACGCCAATCACTTGTTTTTAAAGTTTTAAAAAGTTTAATAGTAATAAAATGGTTATAAAAATAGGAATACAATTAGAGTAATAATAATTCGGACGATTTGAATTAGGACAATATGAGACAATAAAGACAAAGAGTTACGGATGTCCGGGTACCTTTTTCTGGGCAGCATAAGCCCGATAAAGGACACTCGTTAACAGAGGATTAACCCTTAAAAACAATAACCTGTTGCATATTCATACACTTCATACATGATGCATAAATTCCATTCAAATACAGGATTCTGTCTGGTCATCATCAGCTTCTTCCTCTTAATCCTAACGGCGTTGTCCTACCTGAGCGAGGTGGGAAGTTCATTTCTGCTGATAATGGAGCAATAAATCCTATTACTCTGAGAGATTTAGGTGTCCTGTGACTGCTATCTCAGTGCGAGTCCTTTCTTTAGGAAAAAAAGTATCCTACATAGCATCCTAAAACTATATTTAACACACTACTTAAGAGAATTAATACAGCATCACTTTCTAACACAACACATATAATATTCATTTTAATGTTTGCTAAAAGCTAATCATAAAATACGCATTTTTCACACGCAGGACGACCCTGCTTGAGCAGACAGGCCGGACCAGGTGACGCAGGGCGCTCCCTCCCAGCCCGACCCGCGCTGTGACACAGCGACACTCCCCCCGTGGGACTCGAACCCGCGGCCCCGCGGGCAGCGCGCCGGGGGCGGGCGCTGTTCCCCGGGTGACGCGCGGGCACTTCCGGGCGGGAATTTCGGGGCCCGGAGCCGCGGCCCGGCGGTCCCGGTGTTTCCCGGCCCCATGGCGCAGCGCATCCTGTCGCTGGCGGCCGAGGAGGGCCCCGAGCGGCTGCAGGAGGCCCTGCAGAGCCTCCCGGAGGGCGAGGTGGGTGCGCGGTGCCCGCGGGCCGAGCGGGGATGCGCCGCGGGCTGGTGGGGGCTCACAGCGTCCCCTTGTCTTGCAGCTGGGCGACATGGTGACCAGGCAGGCCCTGAAGGGCAGGGAGACGGCGGCTCTGCTGAGAGGGATCTTCAAAGGTGGGTGATGTGTGCGCTGCGCTCGGGGGGCTGCGGGCCCAGCCCTGGTGCGAGCCGGTGGGTGCTCAGCAGCACAGGGAATTGTCACTTCTGGTAAGAAACCCGTTGGTCAGGGCTGTCACAAGCAAGCACGACATCCAAAATACATGTGAGGAGACAGCAAACTGGACTGGAGTTGTGAAGAGCCCGTGGTAAGTGCAATTTGCTTTTGAGAGCCCTTGCAGTAGCACTGAGCTGGCCAGGGGAGAGCCAATTGCCCAGCTGGGTTCTTCTCAAAGTTTTGACACTTCCTGGTCTCCGGGTGCAAGTTGAGTGAACCACAGGATGTGGTAACACGGTGGCCGACTATTTTATCCAATACCTTGTTTCCTGTTCTCTGGGGTTTTTGTTTTGGTTTTTTAATTTTTTTTATTTTGTCAGATAGGTAAAATAGGAAGTTGCAGCCAGGTGACAGTTTATCCCTGCTGATTTCCTGTCGTTTAGCAACGTGTTACTTGCATAACTTTCCTCCCCACTCTTTTGTCCCTCTTTTGCTTGCTGTAAGGCTCCCCCTGTTCCCAGAGAAGTGGTGTCCTCAGGAGACTCCAGGTTTACAAGCACTGCGTCCCACTAGTGGAGTCAGGTGACCTGCATTTGGGCAAGGTGTCTGAAATCATAGGACTGCTGATGCTGGAGGTAAAGCTCCTTTGGGCTGGCTTTCCTGGGCTCTGCTGAGTATAATTTAATATGTAAATTGAGATACTTCACTAAGCCACTGAGGAAAATTAGTTGTATCCTTTCCATGGATCTTCCCTAGGCTAAATTAGCTTGTATTGTAATTGGCTCAGTGTGTGAACTTGATTATCTTTAGATATTTAATCTTAGGCTCAAAACTCTAAACCTATAATCACATAATCTTGATTTATTGCTCTGTTTTGTAAAGAACAGTACAAAACAGAGATCTCAGGGCTGAATTTTCCCTTAAAGGGAGCATTTCCCTGTAAGAAATTCTGTCTTCTGCTGGGTTTTGGTGACAGTTTGGATGTGTATGTGGAATTCTGTGTAGTGCCTCAGGCTCTCTCCTGTTGTATGCTCTCCCAGGCCCGCCAGCTGCCAGGCCATGCATTAGCAGAGCTTGCCAGCCTGTTTGTGGATGTCATTAAAGGAGGCAGCCTGACCAATGGGAAATCCTTGGAGCTGTTTTCCACTGTTCTCACAGCACTGGCCAGTTCAAAGGAGAACCTGGCTTATGGGAAAGGTAACCCCTATCAGCTCCTTCTCTGCAGCTTGTCCTCCCTTCCTCTGCAATTAGCTCCTAAGACTTCTGCTTTTTCAGGTGA